CTATCTATGCAAGAAGCAAAGTGAACCCCAAACAGCATAAACCCAAAGAAATCTAGGAAAAGACAATCTTCTGAAACCTAAAGACAAAAAGGCTTGAAAATGGCAACACAGGAACACCACGTTACCAATAAGGGAAAGGTAATTCAGATCATAGATTTCTCCTGGGGAAACCATGGGGGCCAGTGAAATGAACAAACTTTTACAGGTGCGTTAAGAACTGTCCATTCCGAATACATCTGGTGAAGTTATCCTTCAGGAATAAAAGGGAAATGACATCCTCACATTACGGCAAACTAAGATTGTGGCTTAAACAGACCTACCCTGAAAGGACGAAAGGAAGTTCTTAAAACAGAAATGAGTATTTAAAAAAAAAAAAAAAAGAATCTTGGAACATCAAGGAGGAACAATTGAAAAGAGCAAAAATATAAGTAAAAATAATAGACTTTCCTTCTGAATTTTCTGAATTGTTCGATGGCAGAAACAAAATGTGTAACATTGTCCGATGTAATACTTTACTCAAACTGGAGAAGTGTTGACCTCACTGATCTTTGTGATAAAAGAGTTCTGTATTTTTTTTTTAAGATTTTATTTGAGAGAGGGAGACAGCATGAGAGAGTGTGTGAGCATGAGCAGGGGGGAAGGGCAGAAGGAGAGGCAGACTCCCCACTGAGCAGGGAGCCCGTCGTGGGGCTAAATACATACTAATGTACTTAGTAAAAATAGTTTACTTTTAGTAAATAAAACCTGTATCTTAATAAAATGTATGAGAAGGAATGGAACCAAAGTTGTGAGATTATTCTGTCTTGTAACATAAACTGCTCCCCAAAGGACTGTATCAGTATTGGTTTTAAAAAGGAAATATCCCATATTTCAAATACGTTTAGATTACAACAGCCTGGGGTTGGCAGGCAGTTTTCTGTGAAGGGCCCAAGAGTGAGTATTGTAGGCTGTGTAGGTCATAAGATCTCTGTCGCAATGACTCCACCCTGCAGTTTTAGTATGAAAGGAGCCACAGCCAAATAGCAATGAATGGGCACAGCTGTGTTCCAATAAACTTCAAGTAACAAACAGGCAACAAGGGCCACAGCATGCTCACCTCTGCACTGGCCTAATCTCAGGTTACTCATCCTCCAGTCATTAAAAAAAAAAAAAAAAAAAAAACAACTATCCAAAGCCAAGTGACACAGAAATAATTTTTAAAAATTGTTGTTATGGACATGAACTAAAACATATCCAAAGGTAGAATCCACTGAGGTAAAAGCCCTTCGCTAGCAGTCAGGAAAGCTCGGTGATTCTAGCCTTTGTTCTGCATGTAGCTGTAACATTTTGGGCAAATCACATTCTTCCTGAGACCCCATTACCTCATCTCTTTAAAAAAATATATTATTTAAGTAATTTCTAACATTTGTCTAAGCGCAGTGAGCTAAAAATGACCACTGGAAGATTAAGTATCAGCCTCCCCTCTCCTGAAAAAAAAGAGTATCCAAAACTAGCATCAAGCAACAAAGCACACAGGGATAAAGTTAACAGGATGTGCAAGATCTCTACATTACAATATATTAAACGATGCTGAGAAAAAATGAAATAAATGGAAACACTATGTTTATAGATTTGGAAGACTCTTCGTTAAAATGTTCAATTCATCTACAGATTTAAGAAATCTCAAGTCAAAATCCCATGAGGCTTTTTTAGGGAGTAATTTTGGTCAAAATTGCCAAGCCAGGCGCCTGGGTGGCTCAGTTGGTTAAGCATCTGCCTTCGGCTCAGGTCATGATCCCAGGGTCCTAGGATCGAGTCCCGCATCGGGCTCCCTGCTCTGCGGGAAGCCTGCTTCTACCTCTCCCTTTGTGCGCTCTCTCTCTAATAAATAAAGTCTTAAAAAAAAAATTGGCAAGCCAACTCTAAAATTTACTTGGAAATGCAAAGGACCTAGAATAAACAACAATCTTGAAAAAGAAGGAATCGGAAGTCCTATTTTATGTCACATCAAGGTAAAGCTCTGACAGATGTATAAGCAAACAGATTAATGGAACAGAAGAGTGTCCAGAAGTAGGTCCACAGAAATGACTTTACAGAAAAACAGCAAAATGATTCAATGGGGAAAGGAAAATCTGACGAATGGTGCTGGAACAACTGAATATTCTTATGGAAAACAAAGATCCTCGGCCCCTACCTAACCTCCCCCAGGCAAACAGTAATTCAAAGTGGATCGCAGACCTAAGCATAAAAGCTAAAACTAGAAGGTTAAAAAAAGAAAAAAAGATAATCTTCATGACTTGGGGTAGGTAAGGACTTCTTAAAAGAAGATAACAGAAAGCAAAAACTGATAAATTGAACTTCACCAAAATGAAAACCACCTTCTCCTCAAGAGAAAATCGATAAGCCAGAGTGGGAGAAAACACTTAATACATAAATCTGACAAAGGACTTTTATCCAGAATATATAAAGGACTATCAAAAGAATGGTTCAACAAGCACATGAAGGTGTGTTCCTCATTAGTAGCAGGGAAACGCAAGTGAAGCCAGCGCACACCGAGAGTGGCTACCGTGCATCAGACGGCCAGCCAGAACTCCAGCATTGCTGGCAGGGATGGAAAATGGTGCAGTCACTCAGGAAAACCATTGGGGGGTTTCTTACAGAGTTCAGTACACATCTATCCCATTATGACCCAGCATTCTACTCACTGAATCTGAGAGAAATGACGGTGTGTCCACAAAAATTCTTGGACAGGAGTACCTAAAGCAGCTTTATTCACAACAGCCCAAACCCGAAACAGCCCAGGGGTCCTTGGAGAGAGACACGGACACATAAACTGCCATGTGCAGAGTATGGCCCTGCAATAAAAAGGCACAAACTACCCATAGAAGCCCCAACGTGGATGAGTCTCAAAAGGATCATGCTGGGGACAAGGCAAACCGTAACAACGGAGCCGAGCTAACAGGGTGCGTGCACCTGCCCGATGCTGTCCAGTGTGGATGTAGATCTGCACGTTTCCCTCTCCGCAAATTATATCCCCGCCTCTCACAACAAAAACAGTAGCTGGAGATTAAGGCTCCTGAGGTTAAGATGAAGGCTTTTAACCTACTTTTTAAATTCGGCAACTAAATGAAGGTACTAGGTGGTAAAGGACCTTGAACAATTTTGACGATTTTTAGTTTCATCAATCCAATTTAAATTCTTACAAGCGTGTGTGAGTTTAAAATGTATTTAGGATTAGTTTGTTAATACCCTGGCCAGAGACCTTTCCCCCTGCATAAGACGGGCTGCGTTGGTGCCAAGGTCGATCGCGCTTTAGGCTTCGTGGACTGAGCTACTGTACACCCGGCGTTACATTACTAGGGCTGTAACTCACCTCTTGTCCGACATTCTCTGAGCAACCTTTATGACGTCTTCTCTACTAAATTTTCTTCCAAACTGAGGTCACTTGTAAAAGTTTAGGAGTTTGCGGTATCTCTTAATTAGCACCCGACCTTCTTCTATAACAAGGGTGTGGTGTTTTCTCCCACTTTTCATGTGAAAACAAAACATTAAAACACAATTTCCCAACTGACTAAAACCACTAATACATTTTGCATATTTCATAAACTTCTCATCAAGTTAAAATACGACAATGTTGAATTTTATTATTATTAAACGTGGGCTTATAAATTCTATGAGCAAATTCAGTAATACTGGTTTGGTTCTTTGTAAACTTGTTAAAAGAAAACATTAGCAGCATTAGGTAAGTACAGGGCTGCTTGGTAGGTCATTAATGGAAAGATTTTATTTGGCCCAGTTTTGTGGAGGCCCTTCACGCTCTGCCTGTATCATCTAAGTCAGAAAATGTCAGTATGCCTTTACAAGTGCTTACAAAAGCCGCTGAAGAGAAGCAGTGCACTGCAGACAGCTAAGTGGCCAGCTAAAAGGAGAGGTCTTTTTTCTTTTTTTGAAACAAATAAAGCAATTATCTTAAATGTATTTATTTTGAATGTAATATAAAACGGCTTACAAAAAAATCTAAATGTTATCTAAATGATTCTGATTTTAAAACGGGACAAATCTATCAAGTATAAAAATGTGTCACTCGATAGTGGGTATTTTTTTTTTCTCACCCCCCCGCCCCCTACTTTTGCCGGAGAGATGTTTACAAAAAGGTGCCTAAACTTGGAAGAGGTAAACTCTTCCAAGACTTACCTGAGGCTTAACATATTGGTCCTGGGTTTTTCACAGAAAACCCTGCCACTGTGGCAGAATTTCCTCTTCTTCCGTCCACAGCTTGGTTAGAAATGCTAGTTTCCAAGTGAAGCCGACTGAGTGAGAAAACAGTGCAAGCTGATGTTTGGAACTGCCTAATCAGTCTCAGCTGATGGTGTATGAACACCGTCGGGGCTCCCACACCTGCAGGGCAGGGCTGGGGGTGATTACAGACCAGGGGGGGTCAGGGTCCCACACAGTACACTGCACACACTTTACAACAGGTGGTTAGGTGCTGCCACAGCCATGACTCGACATTTGAGAACTCACGCGGAAGAGAGCATCATGTGAGCCCCAGAGAGGGCCCCCCCCCCCGGTCGGGTGACAGACCACCTGTATTCACAAGTATCTTAACGCCCCGAGCCTAATAAAAGATAAATAAGGACACTACTCAGACATTTTTGTGTGAGAAGGATATTTAGTTGCTTTAAGTTACACGGCGTACACTTGTACATTTCCATTTTTTAATAGGAACGTGTTGTTCACTGTGGGCCTACATACAACTGAAGTGTTCCATCCTAATCAAATTAAATTCTTCTAAGGCTTCTGGGAACATGGCTGCTTCCCTGATGACAAAGTATCCAAGGTTAAATTTTTTAGGAACAAAATAAAGTTTATAAATATTGTGGCTTTTTATAACGTTTCCTAGTATAGTCTGAGGGCACACAAACTCCACAGAAGTAGAGGCTCAACGGCTAGGGGCGAATATGCTCCATCTCTTACCCCTCTCCGGGGGATTTTATTAACAAAAACAATGTAATAGCGTCTTTTCACTGACCAGAGCAACCACCGTGTTGATCAGATCACACTGACACTTGCAAGTGACCAAAATTAGGTGACAAGCATGTGAGAAGGTGGCACGGGTGCCATCTCCTGAGAGCAAGCAGACGAGTAAGGTGTGGTGAGGGAAATGGCTGAGAAGTCGGCACGGGTTAACCTTGACCTTAAAACCAGAATAGTCTGAGGTGAAAAATCAACACCACTCTTATTAGTGACACTGAAGAAAAAAAAAATTAGCCAGGGCTTTTCACTGATAGATTACAAGCATTAGGCAAAAACAAAGACAACAGAAGCCAAATCAAGTCAATATAAAGCAGTAATAAAATATAAAAATAAGACATTATCCAACTCTAGTGGATGTTATTCTAGGACTCAAAATTTGGAAGATACCTAATTAAAAAGCTTACTCCCCTCAAAAAATCCAAAGTGAAAAAGTATCAGTTTTAGCAAAGATATCAACGGACATATATGCAGATACAGATACACACGAATCCTGCAAAATAGATTTACAAAGATGGTAATTTGGCACTTTTACTTGGATTTTTAAAGAAAGTAAATACAGGTATCTTTGCATAACAAATTCTCATTCTGGAGAAACAAGATTTAGAAACAAGGGGTTCAAACATCTCCCTTCTTTAAAATAGTAACATTGACACAGATAAAACTTTACCCGTTAAAACTCCTGGTTGGCAGCTTTATAAATCTGTCTTGATATATCTAACTCCACAAGTTTGACAAAGTTATTTTAGTTTCTATCAGTGATACCTGGTTTATCCACTTTCAGTACATGTACCATTTGGCCAGAAGTCCATAAATAATAATAATGTTTTCAATGTAGAAATCTTAAAGTTCTAAAGGGAAGTACTGCTCAGTAGATAAATTCTCCTGGAATTTCTTGTAGCAAAGGTTCCTCAAATTTAAATCGTTTGGAAATGGCCTTTTGCTCCATTTTCTCTTTTTCAGACTGTCTGCATTGTCCTAAAGTATACGAAGTAAATACAATTAACTCCTCTGTTACAACTGATTCCTCCGTTTCTGGTTTCTGAGTATCTGAATTAATTTCAGGCACAGAATCACCTTCTTGGAGCGCATTTGCTTCTTCTAATGCCCCTTTCACCTTGAAAGAAGGATCCTGAATACTGTTCTCTGTCAACCACGGATGTTTTAGACATTCTTCGGCTGTGGCTCGATCTCTGTAAAAAGAAACACATTTCACCCTTAAGACAAGATAGTTTAAAACTTCAATTATTGAGGCGCCTGGGTGGCTCGGTTAAGCGTCTGCCTTCGGCTCAGGTCATGATCTCAGGGTCCTGGGATCGAGCCCCGCATCCGGCTCCCTGCTCAGCGGGGAGTCTGCTCCTCCCTCTGACCCTCCCCCATCTTGTGCTCTCTCTTTCTCAAATAAATACAATCTTAAAAAAATAAATAAAACTTCAGTTATAAATTAGAGCATACTGGGGGACACCTGGCAGGCTCAGTCGGGAGAGCGTGCGATTCTTGATCTCAGGGTTGAGTTTGAGCCCCATACCAGGGGTAGAGATTACTTAAAAAATAAAATCTTAAAAATATGTTAAGTTAGAGCATAAGGTATATTTATTGTATTATATTTGGGCAAGTATGAAGAGTTGACAAGAATCTTACTGTGATCCCAGAATAAGACTGGAAGTTTTGGCGTTTGCGTGCAAATGCCATTCCCACAATGTTGAGCAATACTTTTAAGTAAGGTATCCCTGAAAAGCCCTTTCGGAAGACCAAGAACAGATCGACTACCTGTTAGACTGAGATGCAGCTCACCGTTTTCTAAGAAACGTTTCCATTTTTGACATTTTCTTTCAACAGATATAATAAGCTCCAGGTTTCATCTAGTTTAATGTCTACATTTTCCTGCCTTCATTTTGGTGTTTCAGTTTAACCTGCTTTTGTTCAGAGCAGATCAGTCAAAAATTGACAAAGATCAGTATTAACTAATACTTACTCAGGTTTCTTAACTAAAAGTGTCTTGATGAAGTCAATAGCTGACTCAGACACAACATCAAATTCTTCCTCAGAATAACTTAAACTCATCCGAGAGATGTTTAGGAATGTTTCTTGTTTATTATCACCTAAGAAAGGTGACACTCCGGTGAGCATGACATATGTTAGCACTCCAATGCTCCTAAATTAGAATGAAAATGTAAGAAAAATTAGTATCATATTCATTCTTGAAGCCAATTTGATCAATTTTTCTTAAATAACTCTTACCACATATCCGTCGCCATGCTGATAGGATCATAACTCAGAATCTCGGGAGCTAGTATCAGAAACAAGAAAACATTCAGCTGTGTGAAAAAAAAATCCTACTTTGCTCTTTGAAATCAAAACATTTTTTTAAAATACTCATCAGAAACTATTAAATAGACACCATCAAGATTTGGGCTAACATGAAATAATATTTATATAAGTTAATATGAGTTACTCTAAAGTCTGACTAGATGTAATTAACTTATTTTCCCACCAGCACCCTCCATTGTTGGGTCTTAATATTTTAAAAAATATCTGAATGCTTAAGTGCTGTAATAGAAACTGACAACTCTGACACCTTCCTCTTCCCATACCCGCTAAAATCAAGCATCCTAGCTAACAGATGACTGCTTTTAAATCTTTCTCAATGCCATGCACGACTCTGCTTCCCTACCACCCCCACCTAGTCCGCAGCACCCTCCCCGCCTGACCTCCACTCCTTCCACCTCCCTGATCTGTTCTCCATACTGGAGCCAGAGGGGGCTTATTAAAATGTCTGCCCACTGGTGGAAAGTCAGTCAGCAAGGTTAAAGAAAAAACAGCATTCTCATTTGACATGCACCATACACAAAGACAACAAAGTTGCCTCTGTAGAGCCCTGACAAACAGCATGCTTTGATAACATTTAACGAAACTGCTGTCACACATAAAGCAATACAAAAGACATTCTCAAATGTGCAAGAACTTAGGAGAAATTCACGAAAATCCTCCTTGAAAGAAAAACTCACTCACTGATACAATCCAGTCAACCAAATGAGTTTTTTCAAAAGTAGGAAGAAGACAGGCAGTCAAGTATTGAATCCATTTAAAAACAGATCAAAGACTAAACAACTGTGGTAATTCAAAAAAGGAGGGGGAGGGAATGAAGATGTTCTAATCCTAAGAAGAAACAAAACACTCAAGTCACATACTCATCACTGGTTGGGGAGACCCCCCCCGCCCCCCCACACAACACACACTATGAGGGAGGAAGAAAGGGTTGGGAGAAAATGCTACGTAGGCTAATTTCCTCAACTTCAACCTCTGATACTGAGTTGTGAAACAGAGGTCATGAACATTATTTTAAGGTTTTAAAAGAAACTACTAGGAAATTTAAAATGAAATGCATAGCACCCAAATTACTGGAGGGGAAAGTAAAATAAGAGACCAAAGAGTAAAAGATGCTGGGAGGAGGGGGCAGGAAGTAACAGTAGCTTCCTTTCCTGTGTTTATTATAAGCTGAACATGGATCTAAGAGCTTGACAGAGCAAATCCAATAAGGCAGTATTATGAGAGCCCCATTTTAGGGACAGAGGAATGGGAGGTATAAAGAGATTTCGGGACTGAGGTCACATGCACAGTTGGCAGAGGAAGCAGCCGGCGCCCAGACAGATGATTCTGTGAGGAAAACAAGCTGGGAGGCTTACACTCACCTCTGCAAGTGCAGGAAAGAATGACAGGAGAGGCCCCCTTGTTTTTCTCTGTTACATAGTTCTGAATTATTTTTAGTTGTCTTGGATTGGGAATTACTTTTATAATAAAGATAGTTCTGTTTTTTGGAGGGAAAAAAAAGTTCTTGGTAGAAAACAGAATTTACCCAGAGAACAGAAAGCGTAAAACAAAACAAAACTCCTTCTGGGCAGTAACTCCTACAGGGTCCTCAACTCACAGCCCTTCATTCCGCAGTTCCCTCTCGTTGACAAAGCTCTCGAGCGACCGGCTGAAGGACCCGGGCTTTCCGAGAGGAGGCCCCGTGAAGCCCCATCCTCAAACCTTACTGAGTGGTCATGACGCGCGCTGTAATTTAAGTGTTCTAGCCCACGAAGAACACATCAACATTTTGAAGGTGGTTTTCCCGCCCACCGTGCTATCTTTTATTACCTAATTAAGGATCTGTTTCAAATCGTAGGACTTATTTTAAAGCTTTGAGTTAGATTTTGTCCTATCACTGCCGAACAGCTTTGTTTTCCTCAACCCTGTCCCCTGGAACTGACTCTCCCTTGTAAACAAAGTGCCACCGGAGCTGCTCCGGTCCCCCGTCTCCCCTCTGAAAGGAGGCGGAGGCTGCCGCACGCCCTAGTCTAGAACGCAGACAGCCTGTCTGTCCACTTCACACCTCTAACCTCAGGTAAATATTCTTCCCTTGGGGCCCAGGCCACGGCCTTCTCCACTGCCTCCTCACCCACCTGCCGCCCCCCTGGACAACGTCCACACTCATGTCTATGAGCCATGCAGCCTGGCGTTCACGCTTCTGGACCTACAGGTCTACACAGCCCTTCCACAGCTACATCGCAGGCCTAGTAATTACGAAGAACTGTTTCATCTCTGAAATTTTAAATGTTAATGCTGTAAACTCCTGGTCACAGCCTTTAGATGATTTCACTGCCTTGCTCTGCTTACGGATATCTTTTTTTTTTTTTAACCTCATTCAGGCCACGAATCCTTTTGCATCCTATTGTTCTTCCAGTCTATCAAAAAAGTCATGGTTTACTTATTTTTGTACCAAACCTAAAAGCCATGGTTCATCACTTCAGCTGCTCTTTTACTAGTACCTTCAAGGCTTAGCGCTTTTTTCTTTCTTCCAGAAGCTCCCAACCTTGCATTAATCCAACAGAATGCCCTCTGTTTCACAGGGCTTGCCATTACTTTAACAATGTTTATGATGAACTTGAAGTTCTTTAGAGGTCCTTACTTGTTAAATATTAAATATCCTCCCACCTTCAGATAACCTGGTATCCTACACTTAGTTAAGAAAATCCTCTTTGATTCCTTTTAGAAGCAATCCCTTCAAATTCTCTTGATTCCCCTTCAGGAAAGGGATCATCAATTTGGTACTTTACTCTTTCATGTTTACCATTTTTAAATTTTTATACAAAAGAAGGACTCTCTGATGGCAGAATTTTAACACAGCAGATGGCTGGCCCGACTACTACCCACACCACATGTGAGTTCCCTAGCGAAGATGATGCTTGACCCCAAACACAGAACATAACCCACTCTTATGAGTACTTACCCACGTATTCAGGAGTACCCATAATTTCTCGGAGCTCTTCACTGTTCTTCATTATTCTTGAAAGACCAAAATCAACTATCTTAATGTCACCCAGTGGAGATTCACTTGTCAGTAGAATATTCTGAGGCTAAAAAAAAATACAGAAAAAGTAGCCCTTAAAACATATACAGCTTGCCCGTGAAACTGAGATTGACAAATTTAATAGTAAGCAGTCATTCATTAAGCAAATAGTTTTACAATATATTTATGATGTGTAAGGCAACAGGCTTTACACAATCCCTTCCCTTATACTGGCTCCTTCTCAGCACATAAATGTGCATCTACCCCATCTTAAACACAAAACCAAGCCACTCATAAAAAAATATCCTCTAAGACTCTGCATTTCTCTCTAGCCAACACACTCACTCCCTGCTCCTCCCTCAAAGCTCAGCTTCTAGAAAGCACGGTCTTGTACACTTGCGAGCACTTCTCAGTGCAGCTGAATCTGGATTTTGCCCCTTCTCCTAGATCTAGCTGTTCTCAGTAAGATCGCAAAATCTTTAATAATCAAAGACCCACCAAATCTAATGAATGTCTTTCAAGGCACCATTTTGTATGTGCTGACTGCTGTATACTTTGGCCTGGCAAACCACCCTTTTACGCGCTCTTGGATACTTTCCTCCTCGAGAGCGCTCTCACCATTTTCTCGAGATTTTTTTTCTTTTTCCCTCCTTTTAAATATTGGTGTGACCCCAGATCTCTCGCTGGCTGGCCCTCTACTATCTCATCTACTATCAAAGCTTCAACCACCACTTACATGCTGATGACTTCCATCCTAAGCCCTTCGCTGACTCATAGATCCAATTAAAATCAGATCTTTTCATTTGGCTGAAATGGGCCACACCTTCAACTCCCACTACTGAGCAAGGCCATCAGTTCAGTAAACAGCTCAGGCAAGGGCTCTTCCTTGGACCCCACCGACCCCCCCATGCCTCTCCTTCTATACTGCCAATGTTAACGCCCAGGTCAGGCACTGGGGGGGGGGGAATCCTCCCAAAGCACTCTGTCTCCTTCCTTTTCAGCCATGTCTCAACCTAGTGAAGTCACCAGCATGCCAATGCTGTGTCCTAAATCTCAAAACGCCCCCTGCTTCAAGTTGGGGCTTTCATCATCTCTTAACTGGACCACCACCTCCTGCTGCTAGTTTTCCCCCACCTTCAACCCACCCGTCACTGTACAATGCTCTTGCCATAATATACGTCGGACCGTGATCCTCACCAATGGACACACTCTCAAATGGGACGTATTTGACGACAGGCCAAGAGAGAGCTACCCAAGGCCACAGGATCAGTAAGGTTCATATTCCTGGGGTCATTTTTTTGTTTTACCCAAATAACCTAGGGCACTTTCACACAAAAAGTCAAACATGTATTATGCACTGGAATATGAAATTCATTTCCATTTTTTACAATAAAATGACCTTTGAAAGAAAAGTTTATGTTGCTTCAGAAAGGGGCTGCACTTACCGTCTTCTGCCATTAAGAATATTTCCAAAGATGAACTGAGAACCAGTACCAGTATTGGTACCAATAAAGTATAAATACCTCACTACAGCACCCCAAGTGTTTTATGATCTGGCTTCTGCCTCCTCTTCACGATTAAGCCCCTGCCCCCCACCCCGCAGGCGATCTGTGTTCCAAATCCAGCCAGCTGTAACCCCTCCACGAGACGCGCATGCCCACGTCTCACGCCTTCGCCTTCTGTATTCCCTTTGCTCAGGAAGCCCTCTCCCCTTCTCCGCCTGGCAAATTCAGTTTCATCGTTCACTCCACGCATGGCAGCTCTCACCACAGCGCTGGTGCCTCAAGAAAGCCGCCTGGGACGCCCCCTCTGGCCCTCCAGGGAGGAGGGTCTGATGCCTGCCCCCTCTCCACTCCACAACATCCTGTACATGACAGACTTGTCCCCGTTTGCTTACTGTACCTTCCTGTCCCCTCCGTCACATGGCGGCTCCCCCTCCGGAGGTTTATAATGAACGCTAGCACTGCCTTCCTTCCACGCATATCCCACCCCTCCATTTGCCTTCTGTCTCCTCCTGCCTCTGCCGCAGGCCACTAAAGTCACTGTGATCTAAGGACGTGTGTCCACGCCTTCCCGACCACCGCCTTAGCAGGGCCTGCCGCCGCTGCCGCTCCTTCCTTGTTTACAGATGCTTTTCCCTCTGGCTTCCACAACAAACCACTCTCCTGGTTTTCCTCCTAACTCTGACTGCTGCTTCTGTCTCCTCTGTTGGTCCATCTTCCTGTAGCAGGCCCGCTCAGTGGGTTTCCCATGGCCTGATCTTGAGGCTCTTTGCTCTTTACGCGCCACACTCACACCTGACACAGTGCATCTGCACCCAGGGCTTAATTATCACCTAGACATTATGAGTCACAGATTTTTATCTCGGGCTCAGACCTCTTCAACCAACTGTTTACCTAATCTCCCCTTTGATGTCTCACAGCTACTCAAATTCAGCGTGCCCAAACCAGACTATTTTCCCTCCCAAATCAGATTCCCTGTATGCCAACGGCTGTCACCTCAGGGAATGCCACTCTCACCCAGCAAGGTAGAAGAGAACACCAAGAATCACCTTGGCCATTCCTCTCTCCCCACTTTCTCCTCATTTAGCTAAGGTTTCACTACATCCTACTGAGTTTAAATCATAAATGTAAGCATTTCTAGACTTTCTCTCCAACTATAGAACACCCATTCAAGGTACCATCAGTTTTGTGCTCAATTGCCACAGCCTCTAAATGGTTTGCTAGGCTCTATCTTGCCCATACTGTAGACAGAAGGATCTTTTGCACCATATAAATCTGATCTGTCACCCCCCTGCCTAAACCCTTCAGTAGCTTCCCATTAGTCTTAACTTCCAAACTCCTTAACGGGGCATACAAACCCCGGCCAGTTCGAGCTCCTGCCTGGCTCTCCAGACTCATCATAAACCTGTTCCCCGTGGCTCGGCGACAGTGGAGACCGTCTCGGCAGACACTGTTCAGTGTCTCCTACCTGCCATGCTCTCTCTCTCACAACAGTTATCTTTGTGTACTTTTTCCCCCATTCTTCTTTGCCTAGTGTCAGCTTGCTGAGAAGACCTAGGATGGCAGTGAAGAAGCTTCTAACAACGTCCAACAGTGAAGAGCTGCAATACGAAACAGGAAGTTGAGGTCTAGGTGGTTCCTCCCTTTCGAAAGGGTTACTGTCAACCCAACCATCCATCCTACCCTTCTCTATTCTGAAAACGCTTGTAGGCTGCCCAAAGTCTGGTTTCAGACACAGAGAAGGAAGACTCTGTGGCTCCACGCGTCACACAGTACTGGGCACGGTGACAGCACCGGGATCAGGGCCAGCACACAGTAGTTGCTGCTTGAATGGAAGGAAGAGACATAACTAACTATAAAAAAGAATCCTAGAGTGTCTATTTTGTGTCCGCAACGGAGGCCCTGTAAATCGGAGCAATCACAAGTCTCTAGTGACAGTTCGTCATCAGAAGAGAAAACAGAGGGGAGGACCATCAGGCTCGACAAGTGCTGTCGTGGACAAAGCGCTCAGGCAATAAATAAATAAGAGGGAATAATGCAGCCTTGGAGAATTATACAGGAGGAGAGTGAGCAGGCCCTGGAGGAGAAAAAGGTTTCTGTCACTTATTCAAAAAAATTTTATTGACTGCCTACTGGGAAAATAACGGAAACTAAGATGTAAATCCCATGTTCTTTTGGAGCCTTACATTCCAATGGGGACAAGCAAGTACGAGTTAGTAGTAACTCCTCGGGTGCTTTGAAGCACTAAGGAGAACTGGGAGTAGGGAAGCGGATGAGAGAGTGTCTGCTGGGTGTGTGTCATGTTCAGGGTGGTCGGGGAAGGCTTCTCTGAGGAGGCAGTATTTGAGCCGCGAAGGAGCCAGGCATGGCAGAATACTTTGGGGCTGGGGTGGGCAGGGAACATTCCAGGGAGAGGGAAGACCCCGCCAGAGGCAAGGACAAGCTACGAGTGGAGGAACTGCCAACGGGAGGACAGCACAAAGGTGGAAGGGACAAGTGTGGCGGCAGGCACGAGATTGGTAAGCAAATGGGGGTGGAGGAGCGGGAATCCGAGGGCTTTGTGGGCCATTCCGGAAGAACTGGCAGAAGGCAGACCAGAGGGGAGGGCAAGAGGACACTGCAGGGAAAGAAGAGGCCACATGCCGAAGTCTGTGCAGGTGAGCTGATACCCAGCACGATGCGTGCAAGGGATTGTCAAATACAAGAATATGTCTCTGAAGAATGTGCCTCTACTCTGTTTTTAAAGTCCTGAAAGGGAGAGACAGAGTGAGGAAGATATGATGAAACATGGAATAAAAAAAAAGGAGACGACGAAGACGACACTTTACACATTACAGTGGCAGAATCCGCAGCCCACTGCGACTGATGCTGTGTAGGAACAGGACCGATACGGTGCGTCTGTCACTCGCTGACTGATGTAGTCAGGTCAGCAAGGGAGGACGATGGGTTCCGTTCTGATTCTCAGACCCGGAATCTGAGGTGCCTGCAGGACTGCCCCGGAGGCTGGAAATTCAGTCCAGAGAGAACAGAAGGCTGAGGACCCTGCTTTGGAGGACAAGGAGACAGAGGCGAGACTGACACCAGGCAAGCACGCGAGACGGAGAGGAGTGGCCAGCACGCGCTCTGGCCAGTGACCACGTCTGTGACGGGAAGCAACAGGACTGACGAGGGTGCTCACAAGTAGTCTGAGAAGTGAGGCTGAGGACCCAGGCGCCATGGCGTAGGAAGACAGTCAGGAAGGAAAGGCTCAAACAGCACACGAGGAAGAATGAGGACCCAGAAGAGGCCACTGGATACAGCAAATCAACAACCTCTGAAAGACTTCTGAAGAAGTAATCTTTAGTAACACCGTGGGAGAAAAACCTAGATTATAAAAGGTTGAAGAATAAGGTGAAAGGCTAAGTGATCTTTACATTATACGTCATTCTGGCTTAATTATCTGTGGATGTCCCCTAAACCAGTGCTGTCCTATGGAAAGGTAATGCCAGTCACAGAACGTAATTTAAAATTTTCTAGTAGACATATTATAAAAAATAAAATGAAACAGGTGAAACTAATTTTAATA